TTTGAACATAAGTAGTTTCAGGATCACTTCTAGCTTCACAACCGTTGCGTAGCTTCTCGTCTTACTCTTATTTGCGTATGCTAGCCGCCATATTTGCTTAGTGCTTGCTGCAGCTCCACCTCATTACATTATCCTACCCATAAGCTTAAATAGTCTTGATCTCGCGGGTTTTGAGATTGCTGAGTCCTCATGACTCACAGATACTACCAAAACAGTTGCAGGTGCCCATGATACTAGTGCAGGTGATGCTACCGTACTCAAGTGGGAGTTCGACGAGGACCTTGGTCGTTACTATGTATCGTTTCCTGATGTTCAGTAGTGGAGCCCAGTTGGGACGATCGGGGATCTAACATTTGGGGTTGTCTTCTTTTATTTTGGTTCCATAGTCGGACCTTGATTGTACTCTGGATGATGTATGTTTAACTTGTTATTTATGTGAAGTGGCGATTATAAGCCAACTCGTTATCCCTTTCTTATTCAGTACATGGGATTGTGTGAAGATTACCCCTCTTGCGACAAAACCACCATGCAGTTATGCCTCTAAGTCGTGCCTCGACACGTGGGAGATATAGCCGCATTGTGGGCGTTACAACTACCTTCCAATATATCAATCTTTACCTCTCAACTATTTTGATACTCCTTGTCATGGTCGTGATCTCATCCAGGACTCCAAACAAACTTCGGTCACCAAAACACATCACTCATAAATATAAATCGTCATCAAACGTTAAGTGTGCGGACCCAACGAGTTCGAGAACTATGTAGACATGACCGAGACACCTCTCCGATCAATAACCAATAGCGGAACCTGGATTCTCATATTGGTTCTCACATATTCTACGAAGATCTTTATCGGTCAAACCGTTATGACAACATACGTTATTCCCTTTGTCATCGGTATGTTACTTGCCCGAGATTCGATCGTCGGTATCTCCATACCTAGTTCAATCTCGTTACCGGCAAGTATCTTTACCCGTTCCGTAATACATCATACCGCAACTAACTCATTAGTCACATTGCTTGCAAGGTTTATTATGATGTGCGTTACCGAGAGGGCCCATAGATACATCTCCGATACTCGGAGTGACAAATCCTAATCTCGATCTATGCCAACCCAACAAACACCTTCGAGACACCTGTAGAGAATTTTTATAATCACCCAGTTACGTTGTGACATTTGATAGCACACAAGGGGTTCCTCCGGTATTCGGGAGTTGCATAATCTCATAGTCAAAGGAATATGTATAAGTTATGGAGAAAGCAATAACAATAAAACATAACGATCATTATGCTAAGCTAACGGATGGGTCTTGTCCATCACATCATTTTCCTAATGATGTGATCCCGTTCATCAAATAACAACACATGTCTATGGTTAGGAAACTTAATCATCTTTGATTAACGAGCTAGTCTATTAGAGGCTTACTAGGGACACAGTGTTTTGTCTATGTATCCACACATGTATCAAGTTTTCGGTTAATACAATTCTAGCATGAATAATAAACATTTATCATGATATAAGGAAATACAAATAACAACTTTATTATTGCCTCTAGGGTATATTTCCTTCAAAATTTGTGAGGGCGTAAAAATGGATAGTAATTGACGGAGTGCTGTTGTGGTGTAAAAATGGATAGTAATTGGTGAAGGACTTGTTTAAACACGTCATCTATGAATGGCTAATCTGATTATAGAACGTTCAACCCAATGCGCTTTCCAAACTATGATATAGGATAAGTGGTATATCCATAGTTCAGAAAATTTTGGCAGCTGAGGAATAACGGGTTCCAAAATAGTTTTTTGAGTGAACACTACCCTCATGGATGATCCATTGTCTTGTATTTTTTTTCTTTTTTTTTGAACTGGTCGAAGAAATAGATTAGGGAATGGAGTGAAGAGGTTGGTCAAGTGACATTTTTATTTTTATTTTGTCTCTTCTCGTTGGCTGTTTATAGACTGTCGTGATGGAGCTCGTCCTAGAGGTGACTTCAATGACAGCATTGTGGCTGAAGCCTCGGTCTGGTTGGCCATATGGAAGGAGAAGGTAAGGTGGACGACAGGAGCGACATCAGCTATTCTCCTCATGTAGGTGAATGCACCGAGGGAGAAGGAGGCTCGGGTTTTTTGGTATTCCTTCTAGATTACTATTCATGTGAATGCATAGTGTTGATTTATTGTTTTTATTGCAGTGTATTGTTCTGGGTTACAATTCAGGTACTGTTTCGGTTTAATTTTTGGTGGGTTAATGTTTTCGCTTTATTGAGATATTGCTCCGTTTCAGTGGTTTTATTTTTTTGGGTTTTATTTGGGCTATTGTTTCAGTTAGCCGTTCTGACTTTATTCGGATACTTTTCCATTTTTGTTCGGATACTTGTTAGTGTACTGCCCACTACTTTTGTCATGGTGTAAAATGGACAGTAATCGATAGAGAATTTTTTTCCATGGATTATTGCTCATGCAAGTATACTATTCTCGTTTACTGTTTTGTGCCTCGGCAGCACCATCACCGGAAAGGAGCAGGAGACAATCGAGGCAGCTTTGTATCGATACGCCGATGGAGAGAAATGATATGGAAAAATCCTAAAGCTTAACCTTTTACACAAGGACGCGAGGATGGAGGAGGGGGAGAGAGATGATGCATAAAAAGTACCCATTTTTCAACAAGGGGAGCATTTTTTCCTTCGAAACATGTTTCATATGACTGTTCGATGGACATTACTGTTCACATTGGGGCAGTGTTTATACGGGGCACTGTTCGTTATCCATACGGTACGGTTCACTGTTCCGGTTTTGTTTGGGTAATTGTTTGTGTGTTGTTTGCTGATGTCATGGTGTAAAAATGGATAGTAATCAGTAAGAATTTAATTCCCCCATGGATTACTGTCCATGAAAATATACTGTCCCGATTTACTATTTTGTGCCTCGGCAACACCATCATTGAAATGGAGCGGGAGACGATCGAGGCGGCTTTGCATCGGTACGCTGGTGGAAAGAAATGATGTGCAGAAAAATCCTAAATCTGAACCTTTTATATAAAAACATGAGGGTCGGAGAAGGGGAGAGAAATGGTGTGTAAAAAAAATCCTAATTTCTTTCTGAACCACGGGCGTTTTTTAAACACTGTTCACTATTTTTTTCAAATCAGGACGGGTTTTTTAAACACAGTTCATTTGTTTGTTTTCTGCTACCATGTAAAATGAACAGTAGAAACGCAAAAGAATCAAAGAATGGGGAAAAATGCCATGTAAAATGAACCGTAGAAATGCAAAAAAAATATCAAAGAATGGAGAAAACCTGAAGCCTTCCCGCTTTAGTACAGTACTCCCTCCATTCCCTTATACAAGGCCAATGTAGAAAATATATTTTGCATCTATATAAAGTCACTAATAGTAACCGAGAAAATTTAATGATGTTTTCTCGTACTATCAACTTATTTAATACTTGCATGTATATAGCCATAATGACACTGTACTATTTCCTTCTCATTACTTCCTTGCATGCATGCGGGCATATTAATCATCCCGGTTAACGAGAAAAAAGGTTGGCTTGCAAAGCAGTTATTAAATTTTACCTTGGTATCTGTAATTTAAGTTTGTGCTCTTGTATAAGGCTGGTCATAGTGGGAGTAACATAGGTAGTAACTTAGATGCCACATAAGCAAAAATGATGAGGTGGCAAGTAGTTAATGAGGAGAGAGGCAAATAGAGTAACATAATATGTTACCATCACATAGCGCTTCCCAATGCAAAATGAGTCTACAAAATAATAAATGAAGACATCTATGTTACCACATATATGATACTACCCACTATGAAGGTAGTAACATAGACTAGTAAAATATGCATGTTACTAGTCTAAGTTATTCTCCACTATGACCAGCCTAAGACTAGCCACAATGGGTAGTAACATAAAGTAGTAACATTGGCATGCGAAAATGCATAGGAGCTCTCGAGTGCTATGCCCCCCTATATTCAAAAATAATTTAGTAATTCAAAAAAGGTCGAAAAATCCTATAACTTTTTACGGAATCAAACATGACCAAGTATTGCACCCGTATAAAAAGATTAAATAGGGAATGGCTTTTATTGTATCTGGGGTCAAAGATTTCCCAAAAAATGCTAGATACAAGTACTATTCATGCTATATTGTTGTCATAAATTTATTTATTTTGCCCTGAAGTCAACGAGTACAATACCTTGGCCAAACTTTTTATATGAGTACAATACCTAGTCATATTTGATTCAAAAATATATCCAGGATTTTTTTTGACTTTTGTTTTGAATTATTAAATTATTTTTAAATATAGGGGGGTGGAGCACCCGAGTGCTCCTAATCCGCTTCCCATTGGCATGTTACTACTTTATGTTACTACCTCTATATAGTGAAGAGTAACATATGTGTGATAACATGGAACACTTCATTTATTAGGCTATAGACTCATCTTGCCTTCATATGTGTGATGTTACCCACACAGTGGCGGAGCTTGCAGCAAATTACTGGGCGGGGTGGCAGGCCAAACTGCAAGAAATTAGGATTCCCTCGGACCATGGGCTGGCTCTAATAGGAGCAGGTGCAGCAAAGCTGGGCGGGCCATGGCCCATGTAGCCTTGTTGAAGCTCCGCCGGTGTTACCACATGCTTTTTTTTTCTTTATTTATGGTTTGTTACATCATCTATTTTATCTAAATATGTGTGATGTTATTACATATGTTATTTTCATTGTGGGTAGTCTAAGGAAATGGAGGGAGTAACTTCTTATGTACTGAGATGGTATACGGTAACTAAAATAGTTATATGCTCCTCTGTTTTAAATAAATAAATTATACTAAAGCAGCAACGTTTAATTTGGAACGGAGAGAGTACCGTATACTCATCTACTACCGTGCTACTGGTCTCGGAGTAATCGGTGTGGCACCAACAAGTCACTCGTCCGGTCACAAATCAAATGTCCAGATCCACATACAGAAGGGATCGTCAGCAGCGTAGTAGGAGCAGCTGGGCATGGCTGACTCCCCAGGATTAGCTCGTGCTCGCGACGTCCTGCGCGTGAGCGCCGACGACCGGGCGCGGGTGGACGCACTCTCCTCCGCCGCATCCGCATACGTATCGGCGGCTTCTCCTCATCTGTCGCCGAGCTTCTTCGAGGGGTTCGCGCTGCGCAGGATCCGCGTCCTCAGCGTCCACCCGGGATTCATCCACTGCTCCTACCACGTCCCTGCAAGCCTCACCGTACTTCACTGGCTTTCTTGGTTCCTTCGTTATTAATTCAGTCCCCTTGATCCGCGCCAGCTAAGCCAAATACATACATGCACGTACACACGCGGGACTCTAGCACCGGCTGCCTCGCCGCCGGTGTTGTGGTGGCCCTGGTGGACGAGATCGGCTACGCCGCCGCCATCTCCGACGCCCAAAACTTCAAGGTCTCCGTTGACATGTCCGTCGCCTTCCCCGATCTCTCCCAGGCCCGCGCAGGGGACCGGCTAAGCATAACGGCGAGGGTGCTCGGGCACAAGGGCGCCTACTCCGGCACGCACGTGCTCCTCACCAACGCCGTCACCGGCAATGTCGTCGCCGAGGGCAGGCACTCCGTCTTCGGCAACCTGAAGAAGGCACCACTGAAGCCAGCAGCCACTACTAGTCTTAAAAGCAACTTGTGACTCTGACTCTGCCTACTCCTACTCCACTACCGTCTATTATGCACCTTCTTTCCTAAATGGCCACTCATGTATCTTTCTTGTCAAGAATAAAATGAAATACACTACTAAAAAGGAATAAAAGGATGCGTGTTCTCAATGGAAATATGTTGTGTACTGAATCCATCCCAGACTCACTGTCTTGTGCTGCTTTTTCGTGTCCAGCGTGCGCACCTACCATTGTCAGCCATTTGATCGGCAGACCAAGCAGCTACCCAACCAGCTAAGCATCACTTCACGTCCCCGTCAATTAGCCCCAAACAGCCTGGCCTAAACATCACGTCCCCATCGATTAACCCCAAACAGCCTGGCCTAACACATAAAAATATCTATGCCAAATAAGTTACTAATTATAAGTTCTACGGAGTAGTAAGTTAAAAAAAACTATAAGCTCTAGTGCTCACCAGTGTCTGATCTACCCAGCAAGCATTTCAGTTGTAACATTGCAAGGAAGATGACGACAACACAGGACATCATCTACAATTAAAAAACCAAACAAAGGCAGTGTGCTTATTGCAACGAAGATGGAGACAACACAGGACACCATCAACAATTAGAATACCAAGCAAAGACATTGTTGCCTTCCTGGCTCGTCACAGACAAGATCTACTGCAGCTAATGTTCATCCATCCAACACAAATTTAACAACACTTTTGACATCTCCGAACTACCTCAGCATTTGTTTAAGGTCCTGTCAAGACCGACAAAAATTTATTATAGTTTCTCACAGTTGAGGTGTCAAATTTGTCCTTTGTACCACAACTCCCAAGGGTTAACGTCTTATGTAGGAGAAAACAAATGCGCGCACATTCTTGTTGTATACCACCTTCTACAAAACCCATATCATCTCATCTTTAATTTGCAGGCTTTCTCACAAAGGCCTTCTGAACCTGCACAGGCACACAGAAAAAAGTTAGTGTACCGATTTCGCATGCTTACATAACATAGTCGCACTGTGATAGTTACAAATTCAGCTTACCTGCTCCAGTGTCAAGAACATGATCACATTCCATGATCCCAGTCTAGCAAAGTTTGGAAGGAAGCCTTTGTAAAATGCCAGAGGTCCCTGCACACAAAAAAAATCCTATTAATCAGCAACCTGCTTGGACTTTCGTTTGCATTCAACAGGTATACAAAGCAGTTCCTATGAGCCTAGAACATATCCAGAATATTCAGCTCACAGACAAACGAGTATATCATTAACAAAACACAGCTCAAAGGATATCTAAGCAATTATGAAAGGTTACTCGGTACAGAGGGAGGACACTATCAATATATTCCAAATCAAGGTTAAGAGTTAGTTGTTCCGAGAAAAAAAATATACGATTCCTACAATGAGCAGTCACCTTTTGTTTGCCATCATATATCTTTTATTTGCATGATCGCTTGGAAATAAAGCACTGTTAAACCACCGTTCAAATTTGAGAGCCACCAGAATGACAATCAAGGCAGTTAATTCTAACAGAGGCTGTATAAGTTGCCAATAAATTACCTACTGTCAACACATACTATTAAAATATGAAATGGGACGAATTTTCTCCGCAAACATGACCCAGCCCCAGATGCTAGATGTGCTTGAAAAACATGTTGTAGACAAGTATCACTCATCTAATGCTGACTGAAAAGTATAAAAAAGGCATGAACAGAGTAATAGAGTGGAATATACATCATTCTTCAGGGTCTTCACAAAACAATCAATAGTGTTCTTGTAGGCAGAGTCACCCATCATTCTTGACTTAACCTGCAAGAAGGTGTGTATTGTTAGTAAAGAGAAACATCTATGCTCGCATATCTTTAAGGTAAGAACTCAACTGCTAATCAATACTCAATAATACAGAAAGACTTCTTTGATAATGATCCAAAAATGGAAGCTGCATTTATTTTCAAAGAAAGACCAGTATCTGAGTTTCATAGGAAAATAGAACAGCTTCGATGCAAGCAAATTAGCATATGGTGGCCATGGATGCACACATTAAAAAAAGGCATAAATCTGCAGAATGGCAGAAGTATAAACCTCACAGAAACTGAACTAAGAAATCAGCTTTGCTGAAAGAACATGAATACGCCATGAAATAAAGGTCAGAACTGGCATATCTCAGTTTAAACTTGGAATAGTGTGTGATGCTGTCAAAGATAACCATTTGTAATAGACAATAGTTACTACCTAGTGGATAAATACACCAAGAAAGCATTGCTCGGAATAATTAATTCGCAGTTGGTTGTATAGGAAATAACATTTTAGACAAGATCACTAGAGTAGGGATAATTATCACTGAGCGAGGAGGACATCTCACCACATCGACCGGAGAACCAACACAAACAGCAAAGAAGCCAGCGCCCAAACCAGACAAGATATGAGTGACCACGTCATCTTTGAACCCAGGAAGTTTCAAAATGGACTGCATGATACACAATACAGTTGACGACAGCAAGATAATAAGCAATCAAATAAAGGAAATAATGACAAGAATAAAGGAAATGACGACAAGAAGCACACCTGCTTCACTTGATCATAACTGGCCAACTCAGCAGCGTTTATGATGGCGTTACGTGCAACATTCGGACCAATGCCAGTCCACAGAGCAGCAACCCCTTCCTAAAATGATGATACCGGCATATTTGAAGCAAGCAATTTGGGATATGTAACAATCCACAGTTAGCTTGCAAAACAAGAGCAGAAGCAACAACTGACCTGCCTAACAATCTTGGCATAAGCATCCATTGCCCCAGTATAACGGCGCGGCACACCAGGTGCCAGCTTCCCCTCAGACTGAAGCCTGACTTTGACAAGGTCAGTGGGGTTGGCCACAGCGATTGCAAGGGCACCTGAAGCAAGTCAGACACACCATGTTATGTTGCTGCATACTTCATTTCACATGGAGGGGGAAATTGATTGAGAATCCAACGATGAGGGTACCAGTGGTGAAGCCAGCGGCTATCTTCTTGGACAAAGGTACATCCCCAACATGGTTCTCGCCAACATAGAAGGATTTGACCTGAAGATGGTCAGGCACAACAATCCGGGTCAAGTTCATTGTTGAGTACCACTACAACTACTGACGCAATGCAATACCATACATATACATAAAGAAGGGGGGAAAGGGAGGGAAGGGAACTCACGGGCTCATAGAGACCAATGCGGAGACCGCCGTAGATGCACTGGCGGTGGAGGCCAGGGACGATGCCCTTCCAGAGCGCGGCGGCGCCTTCCTCCTTGGCGATGGTGGCGGCGGTGCCGAGCAGGCCACGGTACTTGGGCCCAGCGAGATCCCCGGCGACGGCCTTCTTCTGCAGCTGCAGCCTGACCTTGGCCGTGTCGAGGGGGATCGTGGTGATCTGAGAGAGGGGAAGCCCATTCGATTAAACCAGGAGCGGAAAATACATGAGGAAATAACGAGATTAGCGGCGTGATCCTGGTCGGGGAGCGGCCAGGGCGCAGGGTGGCATTGGAAATCGGACGATCCAGCGAGAGAATAAAAACGAAGCGTAAAGCAGCGGTCGATCCCGTCCCCGTCGCCGTCGCAGGAACAGGACGCTGGTGAGTGGCGTCTGGTGGAGATCCGTGGGGCGGTGGAAGCAGGGGTTAGGTTAGGGTTTAGTACCTCGGCGAAGCAGGCGGCGATGGCGCTGGCGGTGAAGCGGCCGGCGAAGGAGATGTCGACCTTGGAGCCGTGGTCCGGCGCCATGCTTGGCTTGGCTTGGCTGACGGGTGGATGCAACCGCCCACCACCGGCACCACCGAGCGAGACGACGGACCCCTTCTGTCACAAGTGCTGTCACACACACACAGAGGAACGAAGGAAGGAAGGAAAGGGGGGAAATAAAGAGGAAGAGGGAAGTTGGCGCCTCCAAGGGAAAAAGGCAAAAGAGCTTTTGCCTTCCCTCTGCTCTGCTGTTTCTCCTTCTTTTCTCTTTTTTTTTTGATTTGATTTGAATGAACCCTCTGCTGTTTCTCGAATTTATCCTGCTTATTAATTACCCTATTGGGTTGATTCGATTCTGATCTGATCTGGAAATGGAGATGATCGATGACTCAGATGCGCATCACGCCTACTAATCCATCCCACTAGATTAGTTGTATTTCCTTCCTTCCTTTGTATCAATCCATTCATCCATCCATGTTTTGGGGACTTCCAGAATGCTGACCATGTGGGGACGTGTCCTCCAGTTTCTTCTATGCACGTCTCCTCCTGGTGTTCCCCTACTGTTTCGTCGCTGTACTCCTTTACTGATTGCACTGGTCGATCCACCGTTGCATAGGTTCCTTCGAATATACACGACCCCCCTGGAAAGCAAATTGGGTCACAACCTGACGCAGAATTTGGAGGGGATGCGTGGAGGTTGCATATGGCTAGATCTGAGTCGACCGAAACTTAACGAAGTCTTGATCAAGTGATAGAATATATAAAAGTGAATAAAACAAAAGTTTAAATAAAAATTTTACACGAATCTCCATGCAAAATCTCACAAATATAGCATCGACTAAGACTTCGTTAAGTCTTAGTCGACTGAGATTTAGTAATCTCGTTTGGTTAACTTGCAGTATAGAGGAATTGAATGCTTGAAGATTTTTCTTCTTCCTTTTTTCATGAAATACACAAAAGTCTTGCGTATCATTGCATTGATAGGTAGAGCGAGATTACACAGGTTGATTACAGAATGGTGTAAAGGGAACGACCAGCTAGCATGTACACAAGGATGGCGTGCATAGAAGGCCGCGACACACTGGAACGTCGGGTGTGCCAGCCGCGGGGGCTGGAGTCTACGTTTCTGGCAAGATTAGGGCAAGTCCTGTTGCGCCGGCACGTCGTGCCTCCTCCCGGATCGTACTCACGGCGCATCCCACGGCAGGGGAGTCATCGTCAAAGAGGCAGCCGTTACGATGCTACCAGATGTGCCCAGGCGGTGATGCGATGGAGGCAAGGTTGCGTCGTAGACAACTCGTGGTACTAGAGATGGCCGATGAGAGCCAGGCGATGAACTTCTCGTCGGGGTTGGGGATCGTGGCGATGGATCGGCACCATGAAAGTACCTCGTGCCAGACTTGGCAGAAGAAGGAGCATCCCGTAAGAAGGTGTCGTCTCAGGTTCGCAGAGTGGACAAAGCGGCCCATGGGGGAGGTCGTGCCTTGCTAGGTGATCAACGAGCCAGCAGCGGCCAAGCAACGCTAGCCAGACGAAGAACTTGATGCGAAGTCGTGCCCAAGGGCGTCATGTGATACGCCAATGGGGGGTTGTTGTCGTAGATCTAATGAAGAGGGCTTTATAGCAAGAGCTCGCGGTGTAGGCACCCATGGCAGTCCAGCATCAAGACAGCTTGTCCGGCTCGTCGGACAAGGTCACCAGGCGTAGGCGTCGCCAGAGAGCCATGTACTAGACAGCCATGGCCGCGCCCATGGCGCCCTGGATGTCCGCGATCTAGGCGCGGTCGAGGAGTCCATCGGGCACCGATCGCACTTTGGGTCGCCGCTTAGGTACGGTGCCATAGACTAGTGGCACGCTGGAGATCCGGGATTCCGAGGCCACCTGGAGAGACTGGCCTGCAGACACGATGCTAGCTGACAAGACAGTGGCCACCGCTCGCTTCTTTACGCCCATACCAGAGGAAGTTGCGGATGAGGTGGTTAATTTGCTTGAGGATCGAAGGGTTGATGGCCATCGC